TGTTATCTTGAAATAATGTATTTAGATAGTACTTTTGGTTACTGTTTTATCTGCTGTATGAATAAAGTCCATGTAATGCTTTATGCTTGTTATTTATGTATACTACGTTTGGATCATTACACACACGCATTTACGTCCAACAACTATCATAATGTATAACGCCTAATATACACGAGGTTACTACTTTATTTAGTATTCTTGTTACTTAGACATACCATTTTTTTTAACAAAATGATATGGCATTTATGAATGACACTGTTTTATTGATAGGTGTCTATTCAGGGTAGATAAATTATTTGTATAATTTTATATTGAATTCATTGTTCCCTTTGAAGATTGATAGTTAATGATTTGTACTTGTTAAGACTACAGTAATTATAGATACTTTATATGAAAACTAAATCCGTTTGTTGTGTTGCTCATAGATATTATGCTCAACTAATAAGAAATTAGTAGCAGATATTACTACTAAATCAAGCCATCACTAAAGTAGCCAAAATGATGAAGATGAAAAATAATTTTATATTCATATATAATTACTACTGCAATTAATATATATGTCTTACCCAGTTATTGTAAATCTTTATTAATGTAATTATACATATATATATATATATATATATATATATATATATTACATATAATATATTCATATAATATATACATACATGTACTTAATACATATATACATATATAATATATACTATACATATATATACATATATACTATGTATACTACATATATATTATATATACTACATAATATATTACTATATTACTATAATATATATTATACATATATATATACATACATACATATATATACATACATACATTATATATAGTATATCTACCATATATATAACATACATATCATATATATACATATATACATACATATATATATACATATAGATATATATATTACATAATACATATATAATTAATAAACATATATATTATACATTTATATACAATTACATATATATATATATATATTATATATATATATACTAGACTACATTATATATATATAATATATATATATATAATATCATATATTTTATATAACATATGATACATATAACTATATACTATATTATTATATACATATAATATATATTTATCATATATAAATATACATTATATTATACATATTCACTATACTACATATATATAATCATACATATATATACCACTATATATACCTATATATATATAATATATATACAGATATACATAATATATTGTATATATATATATAATATATACCATATATATATATATTATATAATATATATATACATATATATATATACAATATGTATATATATATATATATATATATAATATTATATATAATATACATATATATATATATATATATATATATATAACATACATATACATATATACATATATATAATGCCACATAACACACCACACATGCACACGCACATGCGCGCACATGCACACACGGTATGTATACACACGGGATATGTGCACACGCACACACACGCACACGCAGTCACGCACATGCACACAAGCACACACACACATACATGTGTATGTATCTTTATGTTTTTCTTTTTTCTTTTTTCTTTTTATAATGAATGTCACATTAGCTTGAATTAATCCTATATGATACTGAATGGAACAGAATCATTCAGTAAATCTTGAATTAAGATAACATTCCCTGAAGACAAAGTCCCACAGTTGCTATGGCCTTCAAACCTTCTGCACTTCGGCAAAGGCCTGCAAAGCTATGCTCTGACATACCATTATTTTATTTTATGGTAATAAAAAAAAAAATTAAAAAAAATCCTCTCTGTTTTGCAGTTGGATGACATTGTAAGCCTTGCGTCACAGCTCCAGCCAGAGGACCACAAAGTTGCCGCAGAAATCTGGTTTGCTGCACTAAAACAGATCCAGACACTGTGGAGCAAAGCCCAGCTGTCTCCATCACGTGAGGTAGGATACAGCACCAAAATTGATTCATCTTGGAAGGTTTGCACTTGTTTGTTATGATTCTATTTCAGATATATCCATTATGTAGTCTTTTTTTTAAATGGATGTTAATGACTCCAGGAAATTGGCTGTTATATTTTTTGTTTTATCCTATTTTTTAAAGATTTGTTTCTTTATGATATTATTTTGAAAATTGTCTCCAACAGTGTGTGAGTGAGCTGTCATCTCTTGAAGATGTTAACTCGTTATCAACAAGAAAGACCACAGTATTTCAAGATGAAGGTAAAATCCTTTTTTACAGTGTTAGCATTTATTTTTTATGATGATAATATTAGTAATGATAAAAAGGAAATAAAAGTTGATTATAGTATTAGTAACAGAAATGATGATAATGAAAATGATAATAGTAATTATCATCATCATAATGATAATGATAAAGATATTTACATTTGAGAGGAAGAATGAAAATACATGTACATATATTCAAGGCACATTTGAAGCATTAGATTTTTCTACCTTTCACATCAGGGATTGTCTATGCATTTACTTGTATCTTTTGTCTGCAGAACATTCAAACAATAATGCAACATCAATCAACATATCAAACCAGACCATTAATAGAAGAAATGGCAAAGGTAAAAAGATATATATTTTAACATATTGTAATCATTTATTATTATTATTATTATTATTTTCTAATTAAAACAGTGATTATGAAATAATGAAAGGAGCTTAGAAATTTAGAGTCTAAAGAAAATATGTATAGAAAGAGACTGATTTTTCATTGAATTTTATTGAAAAAATATAATTAGATAATATGATTTGATATAAAGGTCAATTTCCTAGAAAAAAAAGAGAAATCATGTCACAACCATTTTTATAGATCAGTATACACAAATGAATAAATGATAACAAATATAAACATACGTATTCTCTCCCTCTTTTTGCAGAAGGCAGAAGGGATATGTTCCAGCAGCATCCTTTGAGTCCTTCAGCGGCCAAGAAGATCAAAAAGGAGCATCAGGACCCAGAGGAAGAAGTAGATGAGGAGGACTTACAGAATGTCAAGGCCCTGGTCAAGCAAGAGGTCATGAACGGGGAGGAAAGCCAGAGGAACAGCGGGGATGAGAATGAGAATGAGGTGAAGATTTTTTCCTTTTTTGTTTATGGTTTCGTTGACTTTTGTTTTCATCTCCTATGTCGTCTTGTTCTTTTCCTTCTTTTTCTTCTCTGTCGTCATCCTTTTGTTCTTTTTCTTTGTCTCCTTTTTCTTCTCAGTCATCCTCTACTTGTTAGGAATGAGACAAATAAGAAAGGTCAGATAGGCCTAGCAAATGACTCCTTGGTGACTCTGTTCTTCAGAGACATTGGTGCATAAAGAGAATTAATCAAACAAAACCAGTGGCCACAGCATTGTACACCAGTGTCAGTGGGTTAAACCATATTATGGATTGTCTGTCAGGAATTAGTTTTCTACACCTGGATGTCCATCCTACTGCCATCCCACCTCATTTATCTGGACTTCGGAAGAGCACCTGAGTAGTCTTGGCAAGCTTATTGGCTGGATGACATGATTATTAATTAATCAATTGTTATTCGTATTTTTTTTGTCTTTTTTATCATACTTCTTTCTTGTATTTCAGGTGCAATCTGTTCACTTAATGATATCTGCCGATCCAGTACTAGTACCAAATATGAGCAAGTTTAAAAAGGTTCAGAAGAGCAATGCCTCAGGTAAAACAGAAACTGCCTACCAGTGTGAGAAATGCCCCAAGCAGTACCGAACACCTGTAGCTTTGTACAGTAAGTGGAAGCCTTGTATGTTTGTGTCCTACTTCACTTTCTTTTATTGTTTTTATAAATTAAAAAAAATGTACAGTCACATATGCTGTTGCTAAAGGCTTCTGGTGAATGTAATGCTTCGGATATTTTGTTTGCATTTGATTATCTTTTTATGGATGAAACTTATTGATGGTCGTTACAAGAAAGAAATTTCAGGTGATCTGTATTGTTTGCATTACTTTTGTCCTATATAAGATTTAGAAAATCTTAATACAATGTGATTTTATGGCATATAAAGTTAATTGTTAGAAGATGAATAATCCTAGCTCACTTCAGACTTTCATATACTTATTTTTTCTCTTTGCACAGAACATAGATCAACACACACCAAAAATTTAGAATGTCAGATCTGTCACCAAAGATTGTCAAATCGACATGCTCTCAATGGTAAAGTATATCAGTTTTTTTTTTTTTTCCTCCTTTGGTCTGCCCATTCACTTATCCTCCCACTTTCTCCTCTTTTTTTTTTTCTTTTTCGTATACTTAGGCCACATCAATTTCATTTGTTGCTTCTTGGATTTTTCAGAAAAAAAAATGGGAGAGACAGGGGGAAAAAAAAAAAGCAAAAAGTCGGGGGAAGGTGTAGGGCTTGCAGAACATAAAGAATAACAGGATTATTCAAGTTTTCAGCTTTTCATAGCACGTTTTATGTAATGGATGCTGTCCTTTGGTCTGTTACAAATATTACAAATAAAGAACATTGTTTTTGACTGAAATTACATGTTGCATTTACTAATATTATTGTAATTTTTGTTTTGTATTATGTCAATCCAAAGTTTAATAAGCCAAGTTTAATAAGTAACATAAAAAAAAAAAAAAAAATTGTACCCGAAAACCAAAAACCCATACAACAACAAAAGTGTGCTGTGTCGAGTCCCTCTCCACTGGCATTTTGTTGTCTTCTTTGACATGTAAACCTCAGCTTTAAAAAGAATACATAGATCTACTCTACTGTCTACATGCTCTATAAACTACTCTACAACTAAACTCTAAATTAAACTAAACATATAGTTAAAAACTATGAGTTTAGTATAGTTCTAGAGTTTAGAGTGGCGCACACCAGCACCCAACAAAATCTTCTAAGGACCCATATTGTTTTAAAAGATAAGACACTACCTGTTTGGTGGTCCTCTAGCTGTGACTACAAAGAAGCTCTCTAATTGGTTTCCAGCATGTGCCTCTGATAGTGG